CTACATGACCAATGGTAGCCTGATATCACAAACGACCTTAAGCAATCAATTGCTTCCCGGATCTCATAATTGTAGTGGCGGTCCTACAGTCTTATCACTAGCTCAACCAGATCTAATACATCTGGGTAATTCTGAAATCCAATCCGTGGATTTCCATATCCTCACTGCTACACCCGAACTGGTGGGTACTATTGTTCCTTCCGCGTCCTAACAACGCACTCATGCTATCTACCAACCTAGTGAATGCTACGGCTACACCCACAGACTTACATCACTCTAGCACTATCTGCCAACCTGGTGAATGCTACGGCTACACCCGCAGACTTACAACACTTCTAGCACTATCTGCTGCTAGTGAATGCTACGGCTACCTCCATAGTCTTACAACACTTTCCATGCTATCTGACTTCTAGTGAATGCTACGGCTACCCCCGTAGTCTTACAACAGTTTCCATACCGGGTCGAACACGCACTCGACCTAACACTCAACTGAACTTGAGTTCTAATTGGACCTCTAAAATGGTTCCCTAAACCTATTATCTGATGCCAAGGAAAAGCGTGAACCAAATGTTGGAACGTTTTCTAAACTCCTAACTCTCCCAATCCTCAACCTAGACGACCACTCGGCCGCCTTCCTTCCTGACGAGGATGTGAAACTCATCCTAGTTCCACACCTATTACTGCTCCTAAGTACCTGTTCGATTCTCCCCCACTTAGATTCAACTAAGTCTTCACGACAAGTGAGAATTGAAGGATTACCAATCCTTATTGCTTCCTAATAATTCACTGATGACAACCTGCGCTCACCAATGCTAGCGATCAATCACCAGTTAAACCCTAAGATCACCCATCCCCTAAAATCTTGAAGAGTACTCTTGAAATCTGGTCCAGTCTGACACTTCAATCCATCTTCCATGCTGACAACTGAAGGCCTTAATCTTCTCCCTGGCTGAAGAATCCTCGTTCTCACTTCCACTCTCACAACACCACTGAACTCTAACCGGATATAACCCATGCGAGAAATGTAATTTTCTCAAATATCCAACGACCGAACACCCATGCATCGAACACCCGCAAATGACACCACCACCTTCATGCTACCAATCCTTTCCTTGCGACGGTAGTGCCTTGAACTCCAAAGTTCTTCCATAGGCAATTGTCGACCATGCCCGAATGATGATAAAACCACTGAACTCTGACTTCACTGGAGAACTATCGCTCTAACCCTGACCAAATATCTTCCAAATAATGCTCCTGTACAGATCCCGACAAAGATCCGGAATGATAACGTTACATGTAGAACCCACTCCGCAAGATACGTCCCTCTGTAGGTTCCTCAAAGATTTCTCGGCATGCAGAATGGCATATGACTACGCTTGATAACCCAAACAATAGCAGAGAACCGACCCGAGATCTAAATTGTCCAAACTCAATCAAAATTCCCAAGTGATACGATTTCCCAACATCCACCTAGTAGCAGTAGAAGATGACATACCCGCCACATCTGGAGGAACCCTGATCACCTTCTCCAGGGATACTTCGACCCTCCTAAGATCATGGTGCAAAACTCCCTTCCGACCTCGATGACAGGAAATAACAATAGGATCCTTCTTCCTGAAGGATTCTAAGGATCCACAGGCTTTGGGCTTCAGATGAGCCCTTAACTGTTCCGCGACAAACCTGTACTATGAACCGAGAGAACACTAAACACCCTGAACCAGCAAAAGGGGAACGATCTTACACTAACCACTAGTAATTCATGGTATGCAATTGGCATATGACGATATTTGATGGTCTAACCCAACAGAAGCAAATAAATAAACCAGGGATACACTTACTCATCCTGCTACAGTATCCCAAACCACAACACAATTCCCACAACAATGTGCAAATAAAACTGAAAGAAGGCAAGGTTACATACCCGCAACATCGCTTGCTGGAGTTCGGACTTCTCCTGTCTGACACTGTAGGGCCTGACTCCTGCTGACATGACCAACCCCGCTACACTTGTATTAGCCTACCCTCTGGAATGTCAAACTCCCTTGTGTACTTTCCCACACGTGTTGTACTGACTCCGGCCCTGCAGGCCTTTCACCCGTTGATCAGAAGTATTGGGTCTCTCCCCGTGACCCTCTACTATATGCACCTGGCACGACCCTCTCTTCTCAAAGTGCTCCAAATCGATCTCGCATCCTCGGACTTTGGAAGTCACATCCTCCAGGGTCTGACACCCTGTCACGCTCACTAGCTCACTTGCCAATGGCTGAGCTACAACAATTTGAACATCCTTTGTCCCTAAACCGGGTCACAAACTCCTCCCCGAAGCTTCTCAAATTCTCCAAGACTCTCACGATTCAAGTATGGATCCTGTTCTTTCAGTAGTACGGGCCCAATACTACCTTCCACACCTATCCATACTTTCCTTAGCAATCCTGTGGAATCCTCCAAGTCACTTCCTCAAACTGATGCACCCAAGTCTCACTAAACCTCACTACTAACCCAATGAAACATTTCCTAGGCTTTCCTAGGTTCCCGAACCCACGTAGTCCTCAGCTGCTGAAAGATTCCCAATAATGTCAACTAGCCACCTTCTGAATATAGCCACATGCAACATAGATCAGATAATCCTTCGAGTAAAAGACTCATCCCTAGAACGGTTGGACTCAGACAAGAGTTGCGCAATAGGTTCAAGTCCATCACTCTGAGATTATCCGGCCTGTGTCCCATGTGACTTAGTATATTCACTCAGTAGCTAACTCGCATCACTAAGAGTCCCACAAAGCACAAAGCAAATAGCATTCAGACAATGGAAAATCTAACCATCATACTCCAATCAAACCATTCCATCCTCTAATCAGGAATCTGCACTGGCATGAGATTCTAAGGCTCATACAATCAGGCATAACCTAAACAGGACATCCTATCACTGACTGATCAGTACTAGCATGCAGGTCTACAAGCACATACAATAGGCATATAAGGCATCCTTCCTAGATCCTTAGCCCTAATCTAGCATGTTGTTCTCATAATCATATCATATCATAACATAACATGTATGGGTATCTTGGGGAAAACTTACTTGAGCTCGGCTGATTGCACACATCACACACCTTGTTCTTTTCAAAGTTCTTTTCTCTTTTCAAAATTCTTTTTATAAAATGATTTTTCTTTTGAAAATTTCCATACCAAGTCCTCAGTTTGAGTCCAAACACACCCGAGAGTGTGCCTGAATCCCTCAAACTAAGGCTCTGATACCAACTTGTAACTTTCCAAAATTCAAGACCAAAAATTTCATTTTTTTAAATAAGTTATTCTAAAACCATAAGTATAAAAACATCCATAATAACATCTCATGTCGAAACCAAAGTGTCAATAGTCAAACATGTTATCATAAAATAATATCAGAGTGTAATCCCAAAGATCTCATGTGCGGAAAATCATAGTGTCATGCGCTGCGATCGAGCCGGCTCCTTTCCTTTGAAAACGAAGTACTTGAAACCAAAACTGTAAACCATAAGCACGAAGATTAGTGAGTTCCCCCATCATACCACATACCATACATAACACATACTGTATAACATATCCGGGTACTAGCTACCTATTTAGTCTCTTTTAACCGGTAACTTGCCTAGCATATGAGGGTGCTGGCCTACCCCTTCGGTCCTGTCAACCATTAACTTGCCTAGCATAACAGGGTGCTGGCCTACCCCTTCGGCCCTGTCGACCGGTACCTCGCCTAGCATATCAGGGTGCTGGCCTACCCCTTCGGTCCTTTCGACCGGTACCGGGGACTATTTCACCCCTTACTCTACAACATAGCATCCTAGTGCATAAACATATAAATCATATACTGCCTAGCTTTTCTGGGTGCTGGCATACCCCTTCGGCCCTATCGACCGGTACTGGGGTCTATCCTACCCCTCCTATCACATATCACATAACATCATAGCATGCTAGCACATAATCATAACAACTAGCAACATACCATATAATTATCACAAAGAAAATCATATCTACTATAACTCTTACTAGTGGGCCGACCTTGGTGCCTTAGACCCACTTCTACTGGAAGGTAACTTACCTCACACTGTTGAAGTCCCGTAGACAAAACTCTAATTGCTGGATGACAGGTTCTCGAACTGTCAATCATCAAAATAACACCCAATCAGTAATTGGGTTCCAACATATACCCATAAGTCCATGCTTGGGGTAAAAGACTACTTTACCCCCAACTTAGATTGACTTAAGCCCAAGGCCCAATCCAAAGGCCCAAAAGTCAACTATAAGTCAAAGCCCAACATATGGCCCAATTTTCCAAATTGGGCCCAAACCCTTACATGGTCTTATACTAAGGCCCAACCATTTATTCAAGTCCAACATTTAGCATTCTAATGGCTCAGTATCTCATGATCATAAAGGCCCAATTATGGCCCATATATGGCCCAATTTCCAAATTGGGCCCAAACCCTCACATGGGCCTTACCCTAAAACCCATATAATTATTCTAGTCTATGCTTGTTCTTGGATGGTCCATTATTAGCCCAATCACCAAAACCCAATAGGAAGGCCCAACTTAAGGCCCAAGCAAGATTAGGGTTTTTACATAAAATGACGATTAGGGTTAAGTTTTTCTTACTTAACCCACTAAGGACTTAATCCATTAAGTCCATCACTCTACTAGATAAATCATATGGTGTGCTCGGGTTTAATTCATAATTCAATTCCAATGGTCCAAAACGTGGGTCCCGATAAGTTCAGGGTCCACAAATCACACTAAGATAAACACACATACACACAGCCACCCTTGTGGTGGCCGACGGTGGCACATGGTGGCAGCCACCACCTCACGCTAGTGGTGGTGGCTTTTTCGGCCAAATAAACACCCACACACAACACCCTCTCACTGCAGAAATAAACACAAACTCACCAAAACACACATACACAGCAACCTTTCACGGTGGCTAGTGGCGGCAGATTAGGGTAACATGGCGGCAGCAGCATCAATGGTGGCTAAAGGCGGTAATAGCGGTGTCATCGGAAAAATAATCATCCACTGAGGCAGCAGTGGCGACGTAACAGCTCGGAGAATGGCAGCGGCGGAACAGCAGGGCTACAACGGAGCTTATGGCGACTGAGTCTTCACCGGTTTGCGGCGCAGCAGCAGTAGCAACCCCGTCGTTCGCAGTCCACGTATCGGCGGCTGGGTTGCGGCGGTTCACATCAGCAATCTTCGCCGTCGGCCATAATCCGTCGTGCTCTTGGTTGGTCGGAACAGCAAAGAGGTCGAATGGTGAATGAGGCTCCACATGGCGGTGACTGAAGGAGGAGAACGGTGGAAGTCCAATGGTTGTTGTGGTCGTTGGCTGATCGGAAACGGGGTGGTGGCGACGCCGGTGACGGAGGCATAAGGGTGGGTGGCGGCTGAAGTGTTAGCTAGGTTTAGGGTTACATATTGCATATATATGAAGGGGGTGACGGGTTCATGCCCGTCAATTTCAAGACTTAGTCCATAATTACACTTCTAGCCCCTCCTTCCGAATTCTTTTCAACTTAAATCTGTTATTTACCAAATAGCCCCCTTCCTTAATAATTCATTTCAATCCAAGTCCCAAAAGTTATCGTTTAACCCCCAACATTCCAAAAATCCTTTCAATTTAAGTATAATAATTACTAAACACCCCCTTATTTATGAAAATCTTTACAAAATACATCCCGGAATCACACTTTAACCCCTGAAAACCCAAATTATATCATTTGGCTCCCGAAAACCAACACCTCACAAAATATTATGGATTTTAGGGTTACTATTCATATTAATTTTATCTATTTTATTTATTTAATAACCGGGGTGTTACATTGTTTCTTTCTTCTTCTTCTTCATCAAGTGTTGTATGTGTAAAGTGATAATAGGATATACATCAACGACGTATGTCTGGATAAAGTTCTTTAAGAAAATATACATGTTTCATTTTGTACCATCTGAATGAGAGTAATAGGTCAGCCATTACTAAAATTGGCTAGATTTTCTTTATACAATTCCCTAATAAGAATCAATTTAAACGTACAATGATGTGATAAGAAGAAATAAACATACAATTCTATGTAGAAATAGTATAATGCTATTTATTGATTTTTATCTCAAGATTTAAAAGTGGCTATGAAGATATACTTACATGTTTATTATGATACTTGTACTTGAACAGTACATGTCTTTCTTTAAGACAACAAACTGTCATTTTCAGATTCTCACTTGCATCAGGATTAAAAGTGCCCCAATCTCATGCACTCTGTCTTCAACTAAAATGTAGCACCAAGATCGAAACATGGCATTAAAACAAAGCAACAAACAATAAAAACATTAGGCTATATATTGAGCAAATTGGACGATATCTTGAAAGTCGTCATTGTCTATTACATCGACTATTTTTAGTCTTTATGCAAGCGTATCCATCTATCTCATAACCCAACATAAGAAGACGATAAAAACATATATGTAGATTGAGCCCAAATTAGTCCTTTGACTTTTAAATGTTTTGATTACATGTATGCATCAAGGACAAAGATGACGATAATATAGTGGGAGTTAAGTATACAACCTTGAGATTTAGGGATTCTCTGCGGAAATTCAAAACAAATTGAACAAAATTAGGCAAAATTCATGTCTTTAATTAAAACATTAAACACAGGAAAGTAACCAGTGAACAACATTCCTCATACCACAAGCCATAAAGTTAAGAACGTGCCTTTAAAAGAAAGGTAATTGATTGCTGATGTATTTCTATACTTTTAATTGGACAAAACGACTCATATTAACTGGCGATGATAGTTTCCGTATAAGGTACCAGACATCAAACTCTTTATTACCCTTTCCCCCCTTTACTTCTCAAAAATGTTCTTCATATTCATCTTTTATCTATTCGTCGCTTTACTACTGATAATAATCTTTCTGTTGAATTTGACCCTTTCGGTTCTGATGTGAAGGATTTCCAGATGCGGACACCAATTCTTTGATGCAATAGCTCTGGCGACCTTTATCATTTCACACTCCAATCATCATCCCAAGTTACAGCACCCTCAACATTTGCTGCAATAACCAAGGATTAATGGCACCATCGGCTCGACCATCCGAGATCCGATATTTTATTTTCTTTAAAGTCTACTTTGAATTTTAGTTCTAGTTCTAAAAATTTATCTCCTGTTTGTTCTTCTTGTTTGTTTGGAAAACAATCTAAATTTGCTTTTTCTGTTTCAAACTCTATCACACATTTACTTTTTGATATAATTCACATTGATTTGTGGACATCACCTGTGTTAAGTTCTAGTGGTCATCGATATTATCTCTTATTTTTAGATGACAAGATTAATTTTTTGTGGACATACCTACTTGCACACAATTATTAGGTGTTTTCTACTTTCGTTCAATTTTTCACTCATCAAAATCCAATTTCACTTTACAATAAAAACAATACAATGTGACAATGGCTGCGAGTACCACAATCAAAACTTTCATCAATTTTGCTCTCAAAATGGCATACAGTTTCGTTTCTCTTGTCCACACACCTCTCCACAAAATGGCAAAGCGGAAATAAGAATCCGTTCAATTAATAATGTGTTTTAGACTCTTCTTACTCATTCCACGGTACCATTACATTTTTGGCACCATGCTCACCCTTCCTTGTGGTCTACTTCCGACCCATCACCAACACCAACTCCTACACCATCTCCCTAACACCTATCCATTTCACTTACTCTCGTCTCTCCAATCTAGTTCCACCTCCACCTCCGATCACACATCAACCGACAGCCCCCACCTCCACCCATGTCGCAACCCACTGTTGCTCCAAATCGAACCATACAAACCTATAATAGGTATGAGATTTGTAAACTAAACAACCCTTCCTTCTCCATGCATCATCGTCTATTTATCCTTTACCTAAAATCCTTTCGAAGCTTGAAAAAATCCAAATTGGAATACAACACTGACCGATGAATTCCAGACCCTTATTGAAAATAACCTATGGAAGTTAGTACCAAAAACACTGAATACAAATGTGGTACGGAGTATGTGGATTTATCGCCACAAAACCAAATTGGAAGGTTATTTAGAGCGATACAAAGCTCGTTTGGTTGTGATGGTAGGTCTCAAAAGGAAGGAATCGACTGTGGATAAACATTTAGTCTCATGGTGAAGCCAACAACAATCCGTACAGTACTTTCCATCGCTCTTTCAAATGCATGGAAATTTTACCAACTTGACGTTAAAAATGCATTTTTACACGGGCATCTACACGAAACTGTGTACATGCATCAACCCCTGGGGTTTCGAGATCCCTCCTATCCAAAACCATGTTTGCTTACTCAAGAAATCTTTATACGGCCTCAAACAAGCTCCCTGGGCTTGGTACCAACGGTTCGTTGATTACGTGTTCACCTTGGGATTCACAAACAACAAATGTGATCATTCCTTTTTCATATACAAGAACGGATCACATACGACATTTATACCCCTCTACGTCGATGACATCTTACTCGTAACATCATCACCTTACCTACACCAAGAGTTCATGAAGCTATTAGCCAAGGAATTTGCCATGAAAGATCTTGGCCCTCTAAGCTACTTCTTTGGCATTTCAGTCACACAAAGCAAGGATTCCATTTTTCTCTCATAACAAAAATATGCCAATGAAGTCTTAGAAAGAGCCGACATGAGTTTCTGTCATCCATCATCTACACCAGTCGACACCAAATCCAAGTTGAGCACCAATGATGACTCTCTTCTCTCCAATGGAGGAACTCATTACCGTTAGCTTTTTTTTGAACCAGCAAATATAAATATATAATCTACTCCTAAGCTAACACCTATTTTCATCTATGTCCACGAAGATACTTGAACCCTCGACCTCAAAGAGGGAGGGCACCACCTGATACCGCTGGGCTAAAAGCCCTTTGGTCAATACCGTTAGCTAGCCGACACGATTTAATAACTCATGTTCACCCACCCAGACATAAGCCACGTCGTTCGACAAATATGCATGCACATGCATGCTCCTCGAACAACCCATTTCAATGCTCTAAAAAAATCTTGCGCTACATAAAGGGCACAATCCATCACGGGTTGCACCTCACCAGATCAGCCACACACTTCCTTATCGCGTATATAGATGCTGATTGGGCGGGTTACCCGGATACAAGGAGCTCGAAATCCGAATACACCATTTACATAGGGAACAGCCTCGTCTCCTGGTCATTGAAGCAACGACCAACTCTTTCCCGATCAAGTGCCGATGCGGAGTATCGAGGCGTTGCTAATGTCGTATCCAAAAAATGTTGGATACAAAATTTACTATTCGAGCTTCACTTGCCTCAAAGTAAAGCCACATTCGTGCCACGTTCGTCTACTGTGACAATGTCAGTGCAGTATACCTATCTTGCAACCTCGTTCAACGTCAAAGAACAAAACACATAGAGCTTGACGTCCACTTTGTTCGTGACATAGTTTTTTGTGGTCAACTGCATCTTTTTCACATTCCATCACGCTATCAAATCGATGATATCTTCACCAAAGGTCCACCTCTCGTGCTATTTAATGACTTCTAAAGCAGTCTCAACGTCCGTGCTCCTCCCGATTCTACTGTAGGTGTATATTAGCCGAGATTATCCTATTATCACAACAATATTATCTTTCCTAATATTTCAGGATATTTGTTAGTGAAGATATTGTACATATCCTATACCAAAAATAACGTGACTCATCTTGTATATATACTTGTATTATTAATGAAATACATTAATGGAATACACACGAGTGCAACATATCTGTTATAAAAAATATTAGACATATAATCACTCTCACTCTCACTCTCTCTTTAACCCTAAATCCATAGATTGATTCCAAATTATTAAGCTAATCTTATTTACAATCTATAATAGCTTGATTACAACTCTATATCGAGTTAGGGTTCCAAATTCCCAAAAATCCACCATTAAAGGTGGAATCAATCATTCCAATAGTGTAATGGTTATGCCTTGATGATCTATTACAACTTTTAGCACTAAATCTTAATATAAATCGTCAATAGAGTTTTGGAATACGAATTTGGGGTTTTTACCCAACGCTAGCTAGAAAATTAAGAAGGGAAAGTGATATAGGTATACTTCAAATGCTCAATATATCACTTAATCCTAGCTTCTCCACATTTAATACTATTTAGATATTCTCTCCAGACTTGAATTTCTCCTAAAATCACCGTGGGAGAACATATCCTTCATATCAATCCTGTTTTGTTTAAATGAGGGAGAAAGTGACTAGTTATTTCAAAATTTTGATCATATGACAAGAATAGATCTTCGAGATCTTGATTTCCATGTTATGGCATCATATGAGTTGACATTTTAAATAAACTTTCCAAGTTTGTACAGAAACCTTGTTCCATAATAATTCTAACGTGAAGGTTGTTTATTGACCAGGTCAAAGCTAGTTACTACAAGTTTGGCAAAATTGCCGCTCCTAGTCCCCACTCCACAATTTTCTATTTTAAAGCTAAATAAACTCTTAATTCCATTTTTCATTATTATTCTCGTAAAAGTTTAACTAGTAGTTATAAATCTTGTAATCATTTAGCCCCTAACCTTATGAAGTTTTTCTTCCTACAACACCAAACAAACCGACCCTTTCTATCGCCATTTTCTTTGGAAACGGCAAACGAATTAAACGGAAGTCTACTCGCAATATTTCAACGAGTATCCCAGGTTCGAACTCCTTTACATGGTAAACCCAACCACCATAAGAATTTCCAGGGAAAAATTCTCCACATGTGGCACCACAAAATGTAGTTTAAGGGAATCAAGCTAGGCTGGATATAGCCCTTTTAATCCCTTCAA